CTAGAGTCATATATTGTATAGTACCTGTAAAAAAAGAAAAATTAAAAATTTACTGGATTAATTTATGAGAATTTAATTAATTTAAAAATATATTAAAATTTTCAAAAGTATTGGCATGTATCTATCTTTTCTTCAAATGCAGAAGCACATTTTGCACATATTCAGCATTTCAGAATTGTCTTCTCATTCTAATGATCTTATATCCTCTGTTTTTTGCATGTTACATTCCATGATCTATCTGATTTTGCCACATCTAGTTTGAGCTGGAACAAGATTTTCATCCTATTTTAAATCTCTTCCTGCCTGTGCCTGATAGTGAGCGACTCCAAGAGCTCGGCCACCGTCTTTGGCTAACAGTACAGATAAGAGAACTTTTTCCAGCAATTCTTTTCGATGGCAAATCATACATTCTTAATAAAATACAATATTTTGTACAATCATTTATGAACTAGAGGATATTATTTCTTCAAGAAATAAAGCTGATTTATTGTAAGTGCTTCTAAATCTTCACTATTTTTTTTCTCTTCCATTTCGATACTGATGCCTTACTTTTGACATATTTAATATAAAATTATTAATTAAATTATCTGCAAATATTGCCATGTATGGTTATGTCATATTTTAAGTGTATATTTTCAGATGTTAAGTTTTATTTTAATATATATATTACTGTTGTTTCCAATGGACAGCACTTGCTTCTACACATACAGACCATTCAGGAGTAGAAGCTGCTTCTTCTTCCAGTTTCATTAAATGGTCATAAATATCTTACCTGATATAAGTTGATTGGTCCTTATAATTGTCACACAAAGGATTACCGTCCAATGTGAGCTCAACTAAATCCAATCCCTTCAATGCATCAAGTACGGCCATTCTCTTCAGCTGCATCATCAAAAATAATTTTAAAACACAATTTACAATTACATTTATAATAAACAAAATAATCAAATCCAGTATTAAAATTACCTTATTGTTTTTTAATATTAGTATTTTCAGATTTTTGCATACTGTCACAAGAGGAGCTAAATCCTCCAAATTATTCAGCCTATTTTTAGATAAATCGAGCTGTTGTATCTAAATTGAAACATAATAAAAATATACAATTTTTAATGTATATTTAATGTGTAATTAATTAAAAAATATTTTCATTTATACATAACAACAATCTGTAATTAATAATGCATATTAACAACATACCAATGGGATGTGCTCTTTTATAATTTGAACAACACAAGANTCTTCTTTGCTTGTTATAAATTTACTGATATATTATTGGACTTACAATATGAAAACTGGAGTAGAAGGATTATATCTTTTGAAAATTTATTAAATATTTTATGACTATTTTAAAATCAATCTACATTTACATCTAAAAGAGTTGTCATTTTTATAGCAGATTTAATATGTTCATTATAATGTTTATTGTTATTCCAACTGCTTTTATTCATCAGTTATAAATCTCAAGAATTACTCAACTCAATTTATATAATCTGCCTCATATAATTGAGAATTTTATGTTCTTCCTCTGTTTTACATCTTATAAAACAAAGCAATTCAATTATTATTATTATTATTATTAAGAAAACAAGTTGTATATTTTTCTTTTTAATGTTAATAATTTAACTAATACATGTTAAAAGAACAACTGTAATGCAACTTCAATAAACAATAAAATTTTTATAAAATTAGTTGAAAAAAATATGGAATTTATATTTAATAAATCATTTTCTTATTTATTCAAAGGTGATTTATAAAATTCTGTTTATCTAAAGAGGCCAGTAACTTGACAAAGTTAGTTATCAAAATGTCTTGAATTTCAAGCACAATATTTTGTTTCATGAATGATACAAAATATTTTTTTTATAGATAACAAACTGGTTTTAAAAAAACAACAATCCAATTAGAGGATATAAAAACCTTCCAAAAACTACACCCAACTAAAAAATCTGTGAAGAGCAAAACAAATACAAATTATGGTAAGGCAGAATCAGCATATATTCAGAGACAAAGATACTAATTCACCATCAAATTAGAAACTTCTGCTAGTCTGTATCAGATATATACTTCTGAGAATGAAGGTTTTTATTATTTTAAAAATTATTAAAGAATCATTAGAGATTAAGTTTAACTAATTATCCAGTGATTAAAAATTTAAAAAGGTTTGCAACTATAGTATGATTTTTTAAAATATTTTTATAATAAATCAGCTGCATAAATGTGAAATTTAATCAACACTATCAACTCTAAATTGGTCTGCTGAAGCTCTTTATTTTCAAATTAATAACACAAAATAACATGTTTTAATGAATATTTCTAATAATTTTGTCAAATTGTTCATAATAGTTTTCAAAAATTAGCTACAACTAAAATTAAAATAAATACATTATGGAAATAATCATCATGTAAACCTTATGTCTAATATAAACAAAGGAAATGTTTGATGTAACTGCTAATTTCCTACCAGATGTTTATTGTCTTGTTCCTATTAATAACAACTATATTAAGAATAAACATATTTTATATTTATTTAAGAAAAGTAATATTGTACATAAATTTTTAAAAGTTTTAAATTTTTTACAGTGAAAAATCACAAATATTAATAAATTTTCATTAAATTAAAATGATAATAAAAAAACAAACAAACAATTAATCATGATTTAAAAAATAAATAACTCAAATTTAATTTATGCAAATAATTGTCAGATAAGATCAGTAATCAAATTAAAATTGATTTGTATGATCGACAATAATTTTTCACAGCCAGAGAAACAATTCATTTTCGTCCCATTTCTATCAAATATAATTAATTTAAAAATTCCTTTCTTCTTAAATTTAACCATATACAGAAAATTTTTCATATCTTCACTCGGCAATCTAATTTTTTAAATTTCTTATCAAAATATAAAATTCTGGATACTTGAAATGTTATTAAATATTTTTATATTTTCTATTTGTAATAATTAATATTTATTTTTTTAGACCTGTCTATATCATTCAAAATTTTGTGTATATCTTAATATAAATATATATAATATGCCTTGAATTGCCTCACTAATTAGGAAAGGGGCATCCACTATTTCAAAATAATTAATAACAAATTTACTATGTATAGGACATATTAAAATGCTATTATAATGTTCTGTACATGGAGTAATTTATATATACCATTAAAATATGTGTTAATTAATATATAAAAATAAATTTATGACAGAAACCACACTTTATTTTAATTAAATATATCAAAACTATGCAACGTAACTAATGCTGATTCACTGACCCAACTGTTCTCAATTCATGAATAAAACAAACAATTCTAAATTTTTCCTGCAGAACAAAAACAAAAATTTTTTGTCTGTTAAATCCAGTCCATTAAATTGAGGGCCTACTGTATATTTAATTTAAAATCTTTCTATACATAACTTAGTTCTTTATAAGAATGTTTGTATATTTCAAGTTTTGATTAAAATTACTCTTTGAAATTTATAATTTCATTGTGATTAAGTTGTTCTGAAAATAGTTTACTAAATATGAAAAAATTTGGTGTGCTCAAATAATTGTATGAGTTATTTTATTCATTCTGTCAGAAGTAATTTTGAAAATTAATGTAATATGAAAATAAAGTTTAGATTTATACTTTCTGGGTTGGTATTAATTAATGCACTATAGTCTTAAACAGAACTGCTACAATGTCAACACTGTCTGAGAAAAATAAAAAGTGTAAGAAAGACCTAAGACTAATTGATGCTATCATGCTAATGGCCATTTATCAATGGTACTATAAAGTGTCATTGATAAAGTACTTGTAAAATATCAAAAACATATAGGCTTAAAGAACAAAGGAAATGCCAAATAATAAGACTAATCAAAATTATATAGAAATATGAAATTAATATGTGGAATGTCATCTATTGATCAAATTAAGACAATTAATAAAAAGTTAACCAGGACAGATGTCGCAAGAAGATTTTTGCATTGAAAACAGCAACTTCAAAAGTTTTCATTTATACTGTGACAAAATTTTGAAGCAATTTTTCTTTCAAGAAAAAACAACAAAAGCTGACTAGTACATGGCTATATTGGAATTGTTTGGTATACTTCAGATGAATAAAATGTAACCTGATGTATTTTTCCAACAGATGAAATACACAAATACTAAAGATATGATGCAATTGTTTTATTCTAGTGTTTCTCAACCTCTAATGAAATAAACCTGTTACATAATATTGGCCCTTTACTTTGAAAACAATTTTG